CCAACCTCCGATCTCTATCCATATGTGTATACACCTTAGGCGATGCTTAAGAAAACCCAAGGTTTCGGCCAGAGGCTCGATTGTTCTTAACGTTTCAATGTAAATCTTAAGATTTTTATGGAAATCTTGGGTTTTTATCCAAGTTCTGAGACTGTGAATTTCTTAACCCATGATTTCTAAAGCATTTCGCAGGGTGTATAGATGTGGGGCATCTCTGAGTGTCTGTTGGTGTCCTCTCGTCGGCCTCCTGTGAGGAAGTCGACCCCAGAATTGAGGAGGAGGCTGTCCATTCCGCCCCCCCCGCCCTTCAGAGGCCGATGAAATTCAGGAGGGAAAAAAGCACACAGACACAATTGATCGTCGACTCCTAGGAAAATATAGGAAAATATGGGAAGTGGGGGGGGAAACCAAAACCCAGAAAATATGGGAAAATATGGGGAATCTTTGTATTTGTGTGTATTTATTTGTGTGTCCCAGGGCCCCTTCAGAAATGCCGATTGGGGCCCTCTGGGAGCTTGGGGCAGTCTTGGGGCCTGGGCTCTGTTGGGTCATCTTCGAGCCGTGCTCAGGCTTCAAGAGTCCGTCGGAAACGAAACGGCGAGCATACGGCACACATCGATAGCCCGCAGGTGTTGGACGGACCGTGGCTTCTCGGTGGGATGTTTGGGAATCCCTCCGTGGCCGCCCTGAGCCGACCGTGTTGGGACGGTCGTGGCGCCCTCTGGATGTACGCCGTACGCTATGCAAACCCACTTTGGGGTACCTTGCGCGATCGTGGATGCCATCTGGAGCTGGATCTAAGTCTGGGCTTGTCCCTCCACAGGAGGAAGGCTCAAGACTAGTGACAAAAATAGTACGGGGACGAGTTGTCCAGTATGTGCTTGACTATCTATGAGCATCTGTGGGCTATTTTGATTTTGTCGTCCAAGATCCGCCTCGAGGAGGAAATGCCCGACCGAAATTCTGGATGAGACCCCCTGGGGACCATTTTGGGCGCTGCACGCCCCTCGCGGAGCGCCCCCTTGAGGCCTAGGGAGTGGGGGGGAGGGCTGAGTCGGGCGTGTCCCTCTGCAGGACGAGTATTCAAACATACTGAGTCTAACAGTCTGGGACGATTTCTGTTTTGCTGTTTCGGAGGTGGATAGACCTCCTACCCTGACACGTCGATTATGGAATTCCAGATGCTTCGCGTACTCCCCACCAGAATCATGAGTGTCAGGAAAACGGGGAATGGCAGCATGCTCCGGCGCTACTCGCCGGCATGTAGGAAGTTCAGTTGGAGCCCGCCGTCATCAGTTGCAGCGCTGGGACCAGCGCCTGCGAGAAGGGTGGACGCTGGCAGCAGGCCCTGTCGCTGCGCAGCAAAATGTGTCAGGCGGCATCGGAGCCCAACGGGATCGGAGTGTGCGTGAAAGGCGGACAATGGAGACGTGGAGCAAAAACGCGAAGCTGGAGACCAACCTAATCAGCTACAACGCTGGGGTCGGGCGTGCGAGAAAGGCGGGCAGTGGCAGCGGGCTGTGTCGCTGCTTAGATAGATACGGGACGCGACGTGGGAGCCCGACGTAGTGAACTACAACGCTGCGATGCGGTGTGGGACAGGCGAGCAGTGGCAGCGGACTCTGTCGCCACGCAGCGAGATGTGGAAGGCGACGCTGCAGCCAGACGCTATCAGCTACAATGCCGACATCAACGCGTGTGGGAAGGTTGGGCAGTGGGTGCAGGCTCTGCCGCTTCTCAGCGAGATGCGAGGGGCAAAGTATGAGCCAGACGTCATCAGCTACAGCGCTGGGATCAGCGCGTGTGGCGAAGGCTGGAAGTGGCATCGCACACTGCTCTTACACAGAGGGCTGAGGCAAGCACAGCCTGAGGTCCACGTAGGACCCCACTCTCCCTCGGCCTTTACCACCTTTGAAGGACCCACCCACCATTTCATTGTCTTGAGCGGCGGTCAGCTGCGACCCTGGAGGAACCAAGCACTTTCTCGCCGCCAGGCAGGCGGGGGGGATGCTGTGGCCCACCTCCTGCCCCTGGGCAGGAAGTGGGCCACTGCCTCCCCCCCGCCTGCCTGGCGCGGATCGCGACCTAACCTGGTCACAGTTTTGTCACACTACAGATTCACAAACATCAGCGGCGGTTAGCTGCGACCCTGGAGGACCAACAATCGATACTACATGTCTTGAGCGGCGGTTAGCTGCGACCCTGGAGGACCCAAGAGAATGACCATGGCCCCTGACCCACGAGCTCGGGGCCAGGCCGAGGGGAGAGGCGTTGCTTCCCCTCGCCTCTCCCCTCTCGGGCCAGGCGAGTGTCCCCCGCCCTTGGCCCCAGGGCCCGCCAGACGTACTGACAGACGTCGGTGTTGCTGCTCCCCCCTCCCAGGGCCGCCGCCCGTGTCCTTCGCTGTCCGTGGTTTGGCTCATCACTCTCAGCGGCGGTTAGCTGCGACCCTGGAGGACCACTTGGTGTGTGTTGGCGTTCCCTGGGTCTTGGGCGGAAGTGCCAAGCGGCGGACTGGGCCGACTTTGCGCCCGTTGGCCCTCGTGTCTACCACAGTGCAGCTCCCCCAGGCGCATCGCCCTATGGCATCGGCACGCCTCGCTCGCACAGGCGCCACGTGCCCCGGGAGGTACAGCCCGTTTTGTTCTCTTGGGGATTCGCCTGCTCTGGTCTAGTTTCGCCTTCAGGGCAACACTACCACCAGTGCAGCTCCCTCTATTCTTCCCCGCTGGCGATGCTGACCACGCCAGCTGGCGTCCCCCCCCACTCAGAGGCCTGTCGCCTTGCCGGCACGCACTGCGAGCTCACAGTCGCTCGGTTCCCCCCTGCGCTGTGGGGTGGTCTGACAGGTGTTGACTTCGTTACGGGATGGTCCAGCCTTCCGCAGCAGGTACAGCATTCTAGGCTCACCTTCAGCTTTCCCCAGTTGCGTTGCACCACGGCCACGACAGTTCAGCCTTTCTGGCTAGCTCAAGTCGCCCGGGCGTTTGGAGCCTGGCGCCCCACTGGCGATCCAATGGCCTCCCACTTGCTCCCACTCAGCACGACGGACTTGACCATCCTGGTTCACGTCTCTACTGTGTTGGTCGTGCCCCCACTCAGATTGACGGGCTTGGTTATCCTGGTTCACGTCTCATACTGTGGCAGGCTCCGAATTCCATGACACTTTGTCTGTGCACGTGCTCGAGCTCTCAGGATACCCCTGCCGTCAGCTCCCCTTCAGCTTCGCGGCTGCTTTGTGAGCGGGCCGGCCGGCCTGTGCCTGTTGTAGCTAATTCGCCTCGCTCGTGTCCGGACTTTGCTTCTTGCCGCCTGACCTTCGTCTCGCGGCTGCGACCGAAAAAACATTTCCCCACCAGCCATGTTGGACACGCAGCCCACAGCTATCTTCCTCACGCTCCGTTTGGATTTTGCCACTCGGCACATCTTCAATTCACCAACATTTTGCCGTGTTGCAAGTGCTCGAGCACCCTGGACGCCCTCAGCATGACACCCCCGGGCAGTCAGCCGCTGCTGGATGAGTGGGCCGGCCGGCTCGCGGCGCGTTTAGCTGCTAGTCCGGCCGCTGTCGTGATCCGTAGTGCTTCTGACTCCGCTAGCGCCTTCGCTAGCGGACGCGACCGGAAAAGCATCCCCACCAGCCAATAAAGAAGGGTCGTCCTGAGTGGTTTTTCGGCGTCTTGGGTGCCTCGGGGGGGCTCTCTGGGCCGCTTGGGATCCTCTTGGGGACCTCGTGGGGGCCTCTCGGGGCTTCTTGGGGCCATCATGCGGCCTCTTGGGGCCTCCTGGGCGCTTCTTGGGGCCATCTTGGAGGACATCGATCAAAGAAGAGGGGGGCTTCACTTAGGGCTGCCCCTTCAGGAGGCCAAAATGGGGCCAAAACCCTGGTCAAATCAATGATGTTGGCTTCCTCGCCGAAGCCGTTTTGGACGCCCTGATACCTCCCCGCCCATCCCGTCCAGGTCCACGGGGAGGAGGTAGGGGGAGGGGTACCCCCCCGAAGGGGAAGAGGGAGGGGTGGAAGATGAAACGCCTTCACCGACGCCCAGAGGGCTGGTGGGATTCGCCGCTTTCGGTTCGCAAAAGGGCGTCGCGGCCGTCATTGTCGCAGGTCCGGATCCGTCGGTATCGGCCCCAGGCCGTTTCCCCAAAGGAGGGGTTTTCTAAGGGGATTTATGTCCACCGCCGACTGTTATTTTGGACTATTTCGGTTAATTATCTCCATACATGTGTATATACACATTCACAATTTCTCGTCCAACATCCGCCTGTAGGAGGACATGCCCGACCTAAAATTAGCTCGTTGGGCCACCTGCTCCAAGAAGGAGGGGTGGTGGGATTTGCGCACAGTTGCTGGGGATTCTGGCCCCAAAAGCGATGACCTGGCGCCAATGGCCTCTTGATGTGGATCCTGGCCCCAAGGGCGAGACCCACTCACGGCCTGTTTGGGATCTCGGGTTGGGGCGATGGGAGAGCCCGCTGCACTTCGCATGAGGTCGTCATCTTGCTGTCGCTCCCCCCCTCTCCTCGCCCTTCTCGTCCTCCGCCCCTCCTCTTTCCCAGTGTACTGGGGCCTGATCTTGCTTCGCATGCAGTCATTCTCTTTCTCGTCCTCCCCTCCCTTTCACTCGGCCGCCTCCCCCTGGGAGCGAGGGCGCCTCTGGCTCACGACGGCGCGCACCTTTGACCTTCGGGAGGCGGCGCGGCAGGAGGAGCATCAGCATTACTTGCGAGCGGAAGCCGGCGCAGGATGCGGAGGAGGGGGGAGGGGAGAGGGAGGAGGAGGAGGAGGAGGAGGAGGAGGAGGAGGAGGAGGAGGAGGAGGAGAGGAGGAGGGAGGAGGAGGAGGAGGAGAGGAGGGAGGGGAGGAGAGGAGAGGAGGAGAGGAGGAGGAGGAGGAGGAGGAGAGGATGAGGAGGGGGAGGAGGAGGAGGAGGAGGAGATGAGGAGGAGGAGCACGAGGCTGCCCCGCACAGGCTGTGGCCCCCCCCCCCTCCCAGGACGCTGACAGGAAGCGCGACGACAGGAAGAAGGAGGAGGACCGCCGCCGCCTCGCCCTCTGACCGTCAGCTCGCTCCCTCCCATCCCCCCCCCCCCGCTCCCGCGCGTGGTCGGCCGCGCGTGGTCGGGCTGCCCCCCGCGGGGGACCTGCGAGCCGACGCCTGCCCGGCCTCTCTCCAGCGCGGGTGGCTTCCCCCGTCGGCGCTCCCGCGCCCCGCCGTGACTCGCCGGCCGATGAGAGCGGGCGGTCGCAAGCGTGGATCGAGGAGGCGTGGATCCCAGACCCCCTCGGGCAACGAGAAAGTCATGGCGGGAGGTTTCTTTTTGCAACCGTCGGCCTCTGGGGGCCTTTGCTGGCCCTCGAGGCCGTCGAAACACGACTCGGGATGAAAAACCGGTCCAGGGGTATGGGTCGAGACCTCCAGGGGTCGACGCAAGGAAAAAACCATAACGTCGGGGATGTGGATAGCGACGGGTCCCGCTTCCCTGGGAAATCACGGATGTCCGCCGCTGAGCGAAGCGGCATTTGCCGCATTTCCGGGAGGGCACCTCCCCCGCTCCATAGAGTTGGCGACCGCGCGCCAAATCCATGGATCGCCAATCCAACTTTGAGCGCCCACGGTGAAAGCAGAGCGGGCATCGGGTCCTCATCCGAGCGACGCAGGAGAACAGGTGCGATTGCGCCGACTCGCGCGCTGGCGGACCGCGCAGGCCACCTGCTCCTTCCTCCTCCTCCTCCTCCTCCCTACCCCCTCCTTCTCCTCCTCCCGCCTCCTCCTCCTCCTCCTCCTCCTCCCTCCTCCCTCCTCCCTCCTCCCTCCTCCCTCCTCCCTCCTCCCTCCTTCCTCCTCCTCCTTCCTCCTCCTCCTGCTCTGTCCGTCGCTCACCTGCCGCTACGAGAGACAAGGGGTCCTGAGAGAAACGGGTCCTGGACCCCGGGCCTCTTCCCGGGACCCGCTCGTCACTCCTGGGTGTTCTTGACGGCCCCAGGGCGTCTGGAAGGTCTCAGGATCGGGAGCCTCGAGACGGGGGTCAGTGCAGACGGGGGTCAGCCAGAGCGCTGGATCTTGCAGGATCCTGCAGCGCCAGGGTCGCATTGACCCGGGTTTGGGTGCAGGATCCTGCAGGATCCTGCAGGATCCTTCGCATTGACCCGGGTTTGGGTGCAGGATCTTGCAGGATTTTGCAGGCCTGATTGACCCGGGTCTGGATTGACCCGGGTCAGAAGATCCCCGACAGGAGCTCGGACACTGCCAGCAGCCTCGGGGCCCCCGCTCCCTCGGGAACGGTTGCGTTCATGCCAGCAGCTGCCTCAAACGCCGTCCGACGTCGGGCGTGGTGTGGTCGTTCTGTTCCCCCCTGAGACTCGGAGGAAAAGGTACCCATACCCCTACCCTTCTCTCGTTTTCCCCTTCTTGGGCCTCCTGCTAAGCCCTCGTCGCCACCGCTGGATTCGCCGAGAAACCCTGGTCAGAACGCACACCCGGAGAGGTCTGGGGGTAGCGGTATTGGTACCTTTGGGTCCTCCCCTTGAGACTTGTGCGGCGTCCAGTCGCGGCGGGGTTCCTTGGGGTCTCCTGGTATTCCTTTCTTGCAGGGGTGTTTCCTGGGGTTCTCGGGTCTCCGGGTTCATTGGTCTGGGTTCCTGAGGTTTGGTGTTTTGGTTTGGGTTTTTTGGTTCCTTGGTCTGGGTACATTGGTTCTTTGGTTCCTTGTTTCCTTTGCCTTGGTTTCTTGATTCCTTAATCTTGGTTTCTTGGTTCCTTGACCTTGGTTACTCGACTCCGTGGTCATAGTGCCCTTGTTCCTTGGTCTTGGATTTCCTGCCTCTTTACGCAACGCCCCGGAAAACCAAGCAATGCCGAGCAATGCAACGAATCGCCTAGCAATGCCAAGCGATCCACCAAGTAATATGACAAGCAATCTGCCAAGCAATGCCAAGCGATGCGACGCAATGTCAACATACAATCGGAAATGTTCTCCTAGTTTGGGGCGCGCTGGGATCCTTTGATGATGCAACTCCTGGGAGGTTCATTTTCAGCATCGGCGCTGGTATACCCGTGGTCGAAAACCTCAGAAGCGGCCTCCTTCTGAGAGGCTTCCCCATCCCCCCCTGCCCCCCCCGTGCTCGAAGCATAAACTTTTGGCGCTCCGCGCGGATTTCTTGGGTCCGCGCTGGGCCCCCCCGGCGACGCCTCCGGCGACGCCCCGTGGCGCTCCGCGTGCCAAGGAGAGGGGGCCCAGCGCAGATCCAAGCAACAAGGGCGCCCTCGAGGGCGCAAAGTCATTCGCGCTTCGCGGCTCGGCTCCGATTCCTCCTCATCCTCCTCTTCTCCCCTGGGAGGCGGCGCGAGAGCGCAGCGCGAAGCGCGAAGTTGGGAGCACTTGTGGAGCGCCGAAAGCTTACGCTTATGGCGTGGTGTCTTCCTCTGCGTGCGCGTCCCCCAGGGGCGTGGTGCCGCGGAACAGCGCAGGAAGCAAGAACCCTTCCGGGAGTGGCCTCCTCAGAAGCGGCCTTCTTCCAAGAGGCCCTCCCCCCTCCCCCCCTGACCTTCCAAAGTGCTTAAGCATAGCACTCCAGACCTATAGATCTATCTGGACCGCCTCGAACCTCGACAGGAATTAGGACGACGTCCTGGTGCTAGTTTTTAGCCCTCTTGGAAGGTCAGGGCCCCTGCCCTCCCCTGTGTGCGCGCCTGCCAGGGGCGAAGCTGCGGGACAAAACGAGAGACAAAAACCCTCCAGCGAGCGGCCTCGAGTCGGGCACGTCTCTCGACAGGAAGAATACCCGAGAACGGTAACAAAAATCGTCCACGGACGATTTTCTGGAGTGCTGGGTATTTTTGTTTCCATCTCTCGTCCCGAACCCGCGTGTGGGGGGACGCCCCACCTCAGAGTGGCCTCCTGCCTCGCTGCCCCCTCCCCCTCCCCTCCTCCTCCTCCTCCTCCTCCTCCTCCTCCTCCTCCTCCTCCTCCTCCTCCTCCTCCCCCTCCTCCTCCCCCTCCTCCTCCTCCTCCTCCCCCTCCTCCTCCTCCTCCTCCTCCTCCTCCTCCTCCTCCGATCGGGTGCGGCGCCGTCACGTGGGCGTCTCTCTCGTGATGGTGGTGTCGGGGCTGTTCGCTCTCTCCTGCTGCGTCCACCCGTCCGCGCCTCGCCTCGTCTCTCGGGGCGGACGAAAGGGGGGGATTGGGAAAGGGGGGATCACGAAATCTGCTGCATGCAGCTGGTTTCGGCCCCACCGAGCGGCCCACTCCTCGATACATGGCCGCCTCCCGGCGCCGGGAGGCGCCGGGAAGATCAGCTACGTGAGCTGATTCTCAAACCCCCCCTTTGGTATCCCCCCCTTTCGTCCGACCCGATCGTGGTGGTGATGTCGGGGCTGTTCGCCCTCTCCTGCTGTGTCCACCTGTCCGCGCCTCGCCTCGTCTCTCTCTCTCTCTCTCTGGCTTTCGAGTCGGACCTGTCCCTCTACAGAAGGGATATGCAAGAGTAGTCAAAGAATGGTCTGGGGACTATTTTTGCAGTATTTCTTTATACAATTTTGGAGCATTTTTTGAGTATTTTCCATTTTTCGTCCAAAATCCCCCTGTAGGTGGACAGGCCCGACTTAACTCTGGCTCTCCCTCTCCGGTCGCTCCCTCTCCCTCGCTCTTCCTCCCGGCTGGCCTCGCTCTCTCTCTGCGTCTCTGTCGCTTCTTTGACTAGTTGTAGCCGCCCAGATCAGCTCGAGAGGCCACCAGTGGAGCCAGAGAGTCTCAAGCTTCGCACGTATATCAAGAGGGCCTCTAGAGAGGCCCAACTTTTACCGAATGGCGTTCGGCCCATCCTGCCACCGTGCCTGAGGTGTAGTCTGAAGCCTATTGGATGTTTGTTGGGATATCCTCTCTCTCTCTCTCTCTTTCTCTCTCTCCTTCTCTCATTCTCTCGCTCTGCTGGCCCTCACTCGGCTTTTCTGTGATCTCCATGCGCTTGCTGCGCTTCCCAGCTCGTTCTCCCCGCTGTCGCGCGTGGTCTGTTTGTCGCATGCCCTCGGCTGGTTCACCCTGCCTTGCCCTTCTTCACTGGAGAAAGAAAAAAGGACATGGACATTAACTGTTGGCGATCCGCGCGGAGAGCCAAACGTTTATGTTTATGGCGTTCATGATTCTTCTGTCCCGCCGCCCGCAGCCGTCCTGACGTTACAGCCTGTCGTGGCCAGATCGTTCCTCGCCTCCTCCGCCTCCTTCTGTCTCCGCTGTTCACCCCCTCCATGTTCTCTCATCCTCCCTCTTTGCCTCCCTCTTCCTCCATTCCGCCCTCTTTCCTTCCTCCTCCTCCCATCTTCCAGCCCAATCCCTCCCTCCCTCGCCTGTTCCCCATTCCTTGTATTCAGAAGTATGTTGCATCCACAGCAACATCAATATCTTTTCTCCTTGACCCCCCTTCTCCCCTCCTCTCAGAACTGTCAACCCTTTCCTCCCCATGTTTGTCGTTCCCATCCTCCCTGTCCACCCCTTCTCTCCTTTTCCATCACCCGCCTTCCTCTCACAGATTCTCGCGGGCATCCCACCTGGCCTTGGCAGGATTCCAAGAGAAGGGATAAGTCGGCGGATGCCAAGAAGGACTTTGCGCTGGCGAAAAAAGCGGGATGCGGATGCGGATGAGGGTTGAATTTGCGAGCGTGTGTGGAGGAATTGTAGCAGGGACAGCAGCAGCAACATGATGGGTCACATGAGCATCCCGTTCAGAAGGACTCCTCGCAGGCGCCAACACACACACACACACACCCACACGCACCCCCCCCCCCCCCCCCACACACACACACACACACACACGCACACACACACACACACGCACACACACACACAGACACACACAGACGCACGCACGCACGCACGCACGCACGCACGCACGCACGCTCGCTCTCTCTTTCTCTCTCTCTCTCTCTCTCTCTCTCCCTCTCTCTCTCTCACACACATTCCTCTTCCTATATTTTTGCAAGCCCGGCCCCCCCCCCAAAACCGGACTCCCGGGATCTGGGGCTCTGGGAACCTCCAGACGGGCCTCGAAGCGGCCCCCTGGCCTCGCAGGGCGTTTTGCCAAGCCTTCCCAGCACACATAGGGCGATCAGGGGGGTCATCGGAGACGTCCCAGAGACCCCCAAGACAGCACAAGAGCGCTCCAAGAGTGACCGACGTGACCTCAAGATGGCCCAAGAGGCCTCCAGGACGGCCCCAAAGAGGGCTCCAAGAGCACTCCCAAGAAGGCCCCCCAAGGCAAAAATCAATGATTTTCTGTTGGTTTTTGGTGAAGTCTGCGGTTCTCCTCTATTCGGCTTCCTGACGCTCCAAGACGGCGGTCTTCTGGGCGTTCGAAGCCGCCTGGGGGGCTCCAAAATCGCCCCACAACCATCCGAAAGGGCTTCCAGGCACTCCAAGAGAGCCCCAAAACGGCACAACACGGGTCCAAGATGGCCCTCAGAGAGCTCCATGGCGGCCCAAGATGGCCCAAAGACACCCTCCGAAGCATTCCGAATCGTGACCCGGTCGTTCAGGGAGACCGCGGTTGGAGGCAGGGTGGCCTGAGGAAGCCCCCAGAGGCCCCCAGAATACGCCCAGGAGGCCTCCATAAGGCCTAGCCTGAAACAACTCTTGTGAGGCCCCCAGAGGCTCTCCAAGGAGGAACCTCCGCAAAAAAGAGCTGGAGAGGATGGGGAGTGTGCGCAGGGTATGGCGAACATAATGAAACAGAAGCATGGAGAAAGGATAACGAATAACATTATTATCGCGGCGATGCCGGAAAAGGCAACAAGGAGTTATCGCTAGATTGTCGGCTTGACCTTCCTGCTATTTCGCCGGCATACCAAACTTCAGGACCAAAGTGCATGGCGCGAGGCGCCACTGCAGTCTTGTATATGTATACTTATATATAAAAATTGCATGGGCAGGGAGGGCGAGAGAAAGAGGAATATGGATAGAGAACGAGAGAGAGAGAGAGAGACGGAGACCTAGAGACAGATCGAAAGCACTGTTGGACCTCTCGGGAGGCCCTCCTGGCCTGCGCACGCACCTTGAGGCTCTTTGGCCCGTCTTATCGCTGCCCCTCTCTGGCCCATCTGGGCGGTCCTGGAGGCCAGCCGCCCCGGGCCGTCTTCTTTGCTGCCGTCCTGTGAGGCCGCGGCGTGCCTCTCTGCGCGGGCCGCAGGCACGCAAACGGCGATGCAGGTCACGGCGGTGTAGGCCTTGGTATGGTGGGAACGCGTGGCCCGTGCTTTGCTAGCATTCGCCTTGTCGCTGTCGTTCGATGCATTTTTCCAGACTGGACGTGTAGGAAAGAAAAGCTTTCAGTCGGGCCTGTCCCTCTACAGGAGGCATATATAAAGATAGTTTACGAGTAGTCCGGGGACGACTTTTGAGTAAATCTGGACGATTTATGAATATTTGTTTGCATATTTCCCATCTGTCGTCCAAAATCCGCCTGTAGGGGGACATGCCCGAACGTAAGCGTAGCCCGTGATTTCCTACGAGTCGGTTCCCAACATCACCTTCTAGCAGCGTCTTGGCGTGGCCTGGGGCGGGCGCCCGGCCCCTCGCGAAGGCTGGCAGGAACACGCGGTCGGACCGAGGTACAGGAGCTACCGCCGACGCGTCACAGGAAGGAGGGGCAACCTTCCCAGGGGCACCCTCGCGTCCTTGCCTCCTCGGCCCAGCCTTGGCCGCTTTCGTTGGCCGCGCCCCGCTCGCAGAGCCTCGGGGGGGGGGGGCCTCCCGAGGCCCCACGCATCCTCACCGTGCGTCCTCGCGATACGGGCCGACTTTAGGTCGGTTCCGGGGAGGGGGCCCTTCGAGGAGGCTCTGGGGGCCGCGGGCGCGGCGCCGAGGAGTTGGGGGTCCCAAAATCGTGCGGCGACAGACCCGGCGGTGGCCTCGAAATCCGCAAAGACCTCACCGCACGGTCCGTCACAGCGCGGTCTTGGGACCCTGGAGGCTCCAGTCCCCCGAGACATCCTCGGAGAACGCCCCAGTCCCAAAACCGTGCGGTGACCCCGAAACTCCACCGACTCACCGCACGGTGTGATCACCACCCCGTTCCCAGACCCCCGACGTCATGATTTCTTCATTGCGTCGACCCCTGGAGGTCTCGGCACATTCCCCTGGACCAGTTTTTCATCCCAAGTCGTTCTTTGACGGCCCCGAGGGCTGGCAAGGGCCCCCGGAGGCCGAAAATAGCGAAAAACCGCCCGTCAGGATTTGTTCACTACCCGAGGGGGTCTGGGTTCGGGGGCCCCCGACCCTGACCTTCCGGGGTGCCAAAAAATAACGCTCCAGACCTATAGACCTACCTGGACCGCCTCAAGCCTCGACTGGAATTCAGACGTCGACGTCCTGGTGCTACTTTTTAGCCCTCCTGGAGGGTCAGGGGACGTCGGGTCTGGGGGCCCCCCGAAGGGGGAGGGGGGCGCCGAGCCCGGGGGAGCCTACTCGGCCTCCGCGCGCCTCGCGCCTCGCTGTGACGGGGAGGCGTGTCTCGGCGGAGCGGCGCGGCCGCCGAGCGGCGGTCCGACACGCGCAGAGAGTCAGAGCCCCAAATCATCCGGGGTAACTCGGGTCAGGGCTAACTCGGGTTCGCTTTTCGGGATTCCGAACCCGAGTTGCCCCGGGCCCGAGTTACCCCGGATAACTCGGGCGCCCAAGAGAGGGGGGGCACGGTCGGACCGGGGCAGAAGTCGGACCGAGGCTTAGTCCACAGGAGGGAGTATTCAAAAGTAGCCCCAAACATAGTCTGGGGGCGACTTGTTCTGTTGTTTCTGGACTATGTTTTAATCTTTTCGGACTGTTCTAAGCTGTGTCGTCCGAAATCCCTCTGTAGGGGACATGCCCGACCTAAACCGAGGTATGAGATCCAGGTCGGCTCGGGGAGGGTAGCCTCTTGATTTTCGTGTCTGTTGGATGTTGCTGCTGCATCCCGGGGGGGGTACCTTTGCAGGTTCTGTTTGTTTTGGCCGGCGAAGGGGGTCTCGTGTTCTTGAATGCGGGTATCGCTGTCAACATCGTCACAAACATCGCAACTGTAGTTAATCATCGTGTCTATCGTTTTCAACGTTGCCATGATACCGCGCCAGCCGAAGTCGCCGATTCGCACTGAAGTGCCCGCTGGGATGTGCCCAGCGGTCAGCGCCACCGCGGCCGCGTCGGTCGCGCAAAACTAGCTGGCCGCTGCGCGCGCGGGCTGGCGCGGTCGCAGAACTGCACCAGCCAGCGCCAAGCACTCGTCGCAATCGCCGCCGCATGGGTTTTGCAAGCCAAATTGCACGACGCAGATCGCAAGGAAAGATTAGCACCTGCGCGTCTTAGATCGTGTACAGAACATAACTTACACAACGTGCACGCTTTTGTCTTAAGTTTTTTTCGGATCGGAACACCCCCTTGGAATTGACGGTCCCCGTTTTCGCATTAAAATCCACACGATGATGCCCCATCGCCTTTCCCAGGTATGAACTCATACAGCCTAGGCCGGCTTGTATCCGCCCCCGCCCCACCCATCTTTTGCAACAAACAATGTGCGCGCACTCGCTGATCAAAATTACATAGGTTTCCAACAACCCTTTGAAACGCATTGGACAAAGTGCACGCGCTCGCTTCGTCGCGCGTAAATCTTCCAACAACCGTCGAGTTCGTACGCATTTCAACATCGAGTGTCCCGAAAATAGATAAGCAACACATGGTTTCGCAACATTTTCATCACAAGCGCACTTCCAATGTGAGATGTTCATCCGAAATCGTTCAGACGCCCATGTGCGCATGCAGTCCAAAAAACCCTTGTGGCACAATTGAGGCAACGCTGTGCGCACGCACGCGCGTCGTTTCGCGCGCATGTCGAAGTCGTTTTCAAGAACTACCGTCTCGAAAACATACACCAACACATGGTTGGCAGCACGTTTAAACAACGCCTGCGCGTGCGTTCTTTCGAATTCTTGAGAAAATCATTCGTTCAACTTTGACACCGAACTCTCAACTCTGCCCGACGGGCCTCTAGCGCCGCATGTCGAATCATCCGGACGCCTTTGTGCGCATGTTGGGGGGGGCGAACCGTGTCAAATAATACCAAGCGGGCCATTCGCGCGCGTCGGCCGCGCGTGCATGTCGAACTCTTTCCAAAATTTTCATCACCTTTGTGCGCATGTTGGGGGGGGAGAACCGTGTCAAATAATACCAAGCGGGCCATACGCGCGCGTCGGCCGCGCGTGCATGTCGAACTGTTTCCAAACCTTTCATCACCGACGCGAGGGCATCGTCGTCGTGATCCGCGGGGGTGATCAACATCGGCGCCGTCATTGGCCTTGCGGTCGTCATCGCCGCCGTCGCCACCATCATCACTAGTCGAATCATCGTGTCTACCGTTGTCGGCGTCGCCAGGATACAGCGCCCGCCCGAGTCACGGATTCGCAGTGGGGTGGCCGCTGGGAAGTGCCCAACGGTCAGCGACATCGCGGCCGCGTCGGTCGCGCCGCACTGCAATCATCCCGCATAATAAGAATGGGAAGCCTTCCCAAGGGTTTCAGGGTACCCTTGCATCCTTGCCTTTTCGGCCCACCATTAGCGACTTTCGCCGGCCAGTCTCGTTCGGAAAACGTGAATTGGGCCTCCAAGGCCCTTGCATCCTTACCGCACATCCTTGTGACCCGGGTTGAAGGTATATGGCCGCTGCGCGCGCGAGCATGCGCGGGCTAGCGCGGCCGCAGAGATGCACCAGCCAACGCCGAGCACTCATCGCAATCGCCGCCGCATGGATTCACAAGTCAAATTCCGGGTGGGTGGGTAGGATAATTGCGCGACCAGTGGAGGTGAGAAATCATTGCGAGCATAGGTGGATTGCACAATCTAGACTGGCATCGCTTTGAGCGCACGTCCAATTATTTTCCACCATACAATCTCCACAGGTTCCCCAACGGTGCTTGCATTTGGGGGACTTTCATTTCTGCTCTGCAGAAGTGGCCCTGTGTGTTGGTCTGGTGGTTCCGTGCCGTCCTCCTCCTCATCCTCCTCCTCATCCTCCTCCTCCTTCCTGTCCTCCTCCTCCTCCTCGTCCTCCTTCTTCTCTTACTCCTCCTCCTCCTCCTCCTCCTCCTTCTTCCTGTCCTCCTCCTCGTCCTCCTTCTCCTCGTCCTCCTCCTCCTCCTCCTCCTCCTCCTGTCCTCCTCCTCGTCGTCGCCGCCCTGTCGGCGCCTCGTCGCCACCCGTCGTTCGGGCCTGCGTGCGTCGGCCCGGCGGCCCCCCCTGCCGGCCGTCGCCGCCCTGTCGCCGCCCGTCGTCGCCGTGGGACTGCGCAGCGGAGATGGCACCAAGAAAAAATCGCGCGCACTGCACCGAGCACATTGCACGCCTCCTTCCTCCCTCCTCCTTCCTCCTTCCTCCTCCTCCGCCTCCTCCTCCTCCCTCCCTTCCTCTCCTCCTCTCCTCCTCCGCCTCCTCCTCCTCCTCCTCCGCCTCCTCCTCCTCCTCCTCCTCCTCTCTCCTCCTCTCCTCCTCCTCCTCCTCCTCCTCTCCTCCTCCTCCTCCTCCTCCCTCCTCCCAACTCCCAACTCCCAACTCCCAACTCCCAACCTGGATTGCACCACGTAAAGTTCGCAACCAGAAATATAGCACCGCATCGATTGCACAACAGAGGTTGCACGACATCGATTGCCCCACACTGGTTGCACCGAAAAGATTGTACAACATGCATTGTTCGAGACACATTTTTTGCGGCCCACGTTGGGTAGCACATATATATATATATATGTGTGTGTAGATATCTATATATGTAGATATCTAGGTGTGTGTGAGTGCGTGTGTACACATCTCCACAAAGGGCTTCGCCCGCTGCAGCCGGCCCCCTCTCCGGCCCCCCGAACGTCGGTGCGTCTCGCTGCTGCCTTGGCGCATCTGGGAACATCATGTGTGGGCGGATAGGAATCATCAACGCATACTGGGACGTCGGCGTTATCCGAGTGGCCTTCGGCCCACCCCGCACCGTGTCTGGGTTTTGTGTCTGGGGCCTCTTGTATATGTGTTGGGATGTCGCGGGGAGCCTCTCGGGGGCCTCTTGGAGGCGGTTTCGGCTCCTGTTGGGGGCCTCTTGGGGCCTCGTGGGGTATTTGTTGGGCCTCTTGGAGGCCTCTTTGGCGCGTCTTGGGTGCGTATTGGCACCTCTTGGGGCTTCCTGGGGGCTTCTCGGGGCTTCTCGGAACGCTTTGGGGGCTATCTTGGGGCCCTCTCGGGCCGTCTTGGGGCCCTCTTGGAGCGTCGTCTTGGGCTGTCTTGGGGCGTTCTTGTGAGCTTGTTGAGCCATCTTGGAGAGTCGGAAAGCCGAAAATGCGAGCACCCCAAACTCCTTCAAAACCTTCTAGTACAGATCGACGATGGTGGACTCTTGTGGCTCTCTCGGGAGGCCTCTTGCTCTTGGGGCCGCTTGGGGCCCTCTTGGGCTGTCTTGGACTCATCCTCCGGTTCTTTGGAGCGTCCTTGGCCTCGGAAATACGAATATGGCCGAATTTGCGACGGTTTATGCCCACGTGGACGCGAATGTTGAACAATTTACGAGGGTGTGTTGCCCCAGGGACGCAGGCATTCAACAATTTGCTACGGTTTGTGGCCTCGGGGGCGCAACTAACGCGTAATTTAGAAAGGTTTCTGGTTTTGGGGACGCGATTATTGAGCTATTTGCAGAAAGGGTTTGTGGACTCGGGGACCGCATATTTAATACTTCGCGGAGGATTCGGGCTTCGGGGACGCGACTATTGTGTAATTACGAGGGTTTGTTGCTTGCCTCGGGGAATTTGTTGCCTTGGGAGTGCAAGGATTGCATAATTTTCGATGGTTAATGGCCTCGGGGACGCGAGCCTTGTGTAATGTAAGAGGGTTTGTTGCCTCGGAGGGTTATTGGCCTCGGGGACGCGAACACGTTGCAATTTACGGAAGATCTTTTCCTCGGGGGCACAACCGTGGCGTAATTTACGGTATATCGTTGCCCCAGAGGCGCGGATGTAGCGTAGTTTGCCAGAGATTATGGCCTCGGGGGCGCGAGTACGGCGTATTTTGCGAGGGATCGTGGCTTCAGGGCTGCGAGTGTGGCGCAAGGTGTGAGGTATCCTGGTCTCGAGGACGCGAGCGTAGCGTAATTTTGAAGGAATCATGGTGTCGGGAGCGCGAACGTAGAGTAATTTATCGGTGATCGTGGCCCCAGAGGCGCGAATGTAGTGTAATTCGCATGATCGTGGCCACGGGGGCGCGAGTATGGCGCATTTCACGGTGGATCGTGGCTTCGGGGGCGCGGGTGTTGTGCAAATTATATGGGATCGTGGTCTTGGGGGCGCGAAATCAGGGTGATTTACCAGGGATGATTGCGTCGGGAGCGCGAATCTCGCGTGTATTTACCTGTCCCCCCCCCCCCGGAAATTCAGACAACGCGATCCCAGCGTGGTGACCGGGTGGTTTTGGGCGCCCCCCCCCTCGTTCGGACTTCAGCACCTGTTGCAGTAGGGTCACATTGGAGACTGGACATTGGAATTGGCGCAGGGTGCTGAAACCTAATCTTACCAGCCTGGAACATATCCCTATCTCTATGCTGGGCATCTCCTCATCATGATGCCAATCTTAGGGATTCCCTTATTTTTAAAGGGCGAATCCCTAAGATTGTCATCGCCTTTTGGCGTGTCAATCTTAGGGATAGGGATACGTTCGAGGCTGGCAATAATCCTCGCAGCCTGATGACCCCACCAGGGGGCTGGCAGAGTTGTGCTCAACCTGCCGCGAAGTGCTCAGTCCTCGCACGCCGGGCGGACGGCGCCCGCCCCTTGCCCAGGGCTACAGCATAGCACCAGGACGTCGACGTCCTGATTCCTGTCGGGGTTTGAGGCAGTCCAGGCAGGTCTATAGGCCTGGAGTGCTATTTTGTAGCACTCCAGAAGGTCAGGGTAGGGACCCCCGCCGCGAGGACAGGGACAGGGAGAAGGGCAAGGAGAAGGAGCGCCGCGCGCCGCGGCGGGCCCGGGCGAGGGGCTTAATCAATCACCCGAAAGGCTTGATGTGTTCCAGCCGCGGTCCCCAGAGGTCTCGACCACCACTCCCCCATGGAGGGGGCAGCTTTCCGCCCCCGATCCGTGCTCGATGGCCCCCTAGTCGGGCGTGAAGCAGTGGGGGGGGAGGAGGAGGAGGAGGAGGAGGAGAAGGAGGAGGAGGAGGAGGAGGAGGAGGAGGAGGAGGAGGAGGAGGAGCAGGAGGAAAGGAGGAGGAGGAGGAGGGAGGAGAGGAGGAGGAGGAGGAAGAGAGAGGAGGAGGGAGGAGAGAGGAGGGAGGAGGGAGGAGGGAGCAGGGAGCAGGGAGCAGGGAGCAGGGAGTAGGAGGGAGGAGGAGAGGAGGAGGAGGGGAGGAGGAGGAGGAGGAGGAGGAGGAGGGAGGAGGAGGGAGGAGGAGGGAGGAGGAGGAGGAGGGGCGGAGGAGGAGGGAGAAGGAGGGAGGAGGAGGAGAGGAGGGAGGGGAGGAGGAGGGGAGGAGGAGGGAGGAGGAGGGAGGAGGAGGAGAGGAGGAGGAGGAGGAGAGGAGGAGGAGAGGAGGAGGAGGAGGAGGAGGAGAGGAGAAGAGGAATTCGAGGAGGAGGAGGAGGAGGAGGAGGAGGAGGAGGAGGAGGAGGATGGAGGAGGAGGAGGAGGAGGAGGAGGAGGAGAGGGCGATTGTGTGGGGGTGAGGAAAGGTGTACCTTCTGTACGCTAAGGGGGGCCCTGAGGCCCCTTCAGGGCACAAGTGGTGCACGTTTCGCACCCCCCCCCAGCCCATGGGGAGGGGGGAAAGCTTCTTAGAAGCAGCCTCCTTCTAAGAGGTCTTCCCTCCTCCCCCTACCCCCCTCTGCCCGCCGCCAACCCTCTCTGGTGCAGAGCGCGCAGTTGGCTTCGCTCGGCCATGATGTGGTCGACGTAATGTGAGCCCCGGGTTCCCAGACCCCCCCGGGTCATGTAACATCGCGATTGGCAATTTTTGCTAGTTTCTAGCCTTTTGGGGCCCTAGCCGGCCCCCAGGACCGCTAAGAAACGAATCAGGATGAACCTTTTCTTCGGGTCGACGTTATGAACAAATCATGCCGTCGAGGGTCTGGGACAAGGGTCCCCTCCCTCCCTATAGTCACTCGGGGCACGGAACAGAGCAGCGTTCCCAGCGGCGAAAGTTTGATAATTTTCCCCCCAGGGGATTGCCGTCGTCGTCGTCGTCGTCGTGGGCCGTCGTCGTTCGTCGTCGTTCGTCATCGTCGGTTCGCCGTCGCGCTATTCCTGGCCCTGCGTCGCCAGCAAACTTTTTTCCGCCGAAGCATGTTGTAGTCTTCGCCCCAAGGAAGCTTTACTGTTCAGAAGCTGACACCAGGTGGGGTCGGTGGGTCGCGCTGCGTCGCTGATGCGTCGGCGATGTGGCGAGGCTCGGTGCCCGCTCTTCCGGCCTTGCGTCGCCGAGGCATCGGCGATGCGGCGCGATCCTCCGACGCCATTTCTTCGGGCCCCAGATCTGGGCGGCCTTCACGGATCTGATGGGGAAAGCAAAGAATTGAGAATTCTCTGACCCGCGGGTGCAGTTTTCTTCTAGATGGGGTCGGAGTAGATGGGGTCGGAGGATCGCGCAGCATCGCCGATGCATCAGCGATGCATCGGCGATTAATCTCAAGGTAGGGCCCAATCCTCTCCACGCCGACGTCGCCGATGCATCGCTGTTGTCGCCAGTGCATGGCCGATGCAGCGCCGATGCATCGGCGATGCATCGCCGATGGTTCTGGGCGATGCGGCGAGGTCCTTCGACCCCAGCTGCTGCGACCCCATCCAGGAGGCATGTACCCGAAGTCGCCGCTCCAGGGGTCCCCCGAGGGAGCCAGGCAGGCGCAGGATCGCGGCCCCGGAACGCTCTCGGGGCGTCCCCGGGCGCTCTGCAGATGGCCGCGGCGCCCAGCCTCCACAAGGCCTCCTCCTCCTCCTCCTCTCCTCCTCCTACTCCTCCTCCTCCCCTCCTCCTCCTCCTCCCTCCTCCTCCTCCTCCTCCTCCTCCTCCTCCTTCCTCCTCCTCCTCCTCTCCTCCTCCTCCTCCTCCTCCTCCTCCTCCTCCTCCTCCTCCTGCCTCCTCCTCCTCGATCTGCTCTTCCTCCTGTCCTCTCCTCCTTTCGCTCATCTGGGGATTGTCTGTGCTCTGCGGGAGGCCTGCGATCTGCGCAGCCGTCGCCACGTTCGTGGGCTCCTGTGGACCACCTCGCCTCGCCGCCCCCAGGAGGGCTTGCGATCTGTGCAACTGTAGCTCTCGTGGGCTCCTGGGAGGCCCAGCAGAGGCACGTCCCACGCGACCACCTCTGGACCTCGCCGCCCCCTGGGGGGCTTGCGATCTGTGCAACTGTCTTGCCGCAATTGTCGCCACGTTCGTGGGCTCCTGGGAGTCCCAGCCAAGGTACGTCCCACACGGACCACCTCGGGACTTCGCCCCCCCCTGGGGGGCTTGCGATCTGCGCAACTGTCGCCACTTTCGTGGGCTCCTGGGAGGCCCAGCGGAGGTACGTCCCACATGGACCACCTCGGGACCTCGCCGCCCCCTGGGGGGCTTGCGATCTGTGCAATTGTCGCCACTTTCGTGGGCTCCTGGGAGGCCCAGCGGAGGTACGTCCCACGCGGATCACCTCTGGACCTCGCCGCCCCCTGGGGGGCTTGCGATCTGCGCAACTGTCGCCATTTTCGTGGGCTCCTGGGAGGCCTAGCAGAGGTACGTCCCACGCGGACCACTCGGGACCAACTCGGACCTTTATTGCGCAATTGTCGCTCCTGGGAGGCCCAGCGGAGGCACGTCCCACACGGACCACCTCGGGACTTCGCCGCCCCCTGGGGGGCTTGCGATCTGCGCAATTGTCGTTTTTTTCGTGGGCTCTTGGGAGGCAGGCACGTCCCACGCGGACCACCTCTGGACCTCGCCGCCCCCTGGGGGGCTTGCGATCTGTGCAACTGTCGCCACTTTCGTGGGCTCCTGGGAGGCCCAGCGGAGGTACGTCCCACGCGGACCACCTCGGGACCTGGCCGCCCCCTGGGGGGCTTGCGATCTGCGCAACTGTCGCCACTTTCGTGGGCTCCTGGGAGGCCCAGCGGAGGTACGTCCACCGCGGATCACCTCTGGACCTCGCCGCCCCTTGGGGGGCTTGCGATCTGCGCAACTGTCGCCACTTTTGTGGGCTCCTGGGAGGCCCAGCGGAGGTACGTACCACGTGGATTATTCGGAGGTGCGTCACACGCGTTTCTTTCAACGCCCCTGTGTTTCCATGTTGTATAGTTGCCGTTCCTCTTCTTGCTGCGCTCTTTTGAAATCACTGTTGCGTGCTCTTCTTGCGCACTGCGGGGCCTTCAGAATGCCAGTCAGCATTGAGTGGTCCTTTATATAATCGCCACATGTATAGAAAGGGTTGGGTACGTCACAGGGTAATCATTCTGTCCTCTTCGGGCACTCCTTGAGGACCTCTTGGAGGCCTCTTGGGGGCCTCTTGGGCCGTCTTGAGCCATATTGAGGCTATCTTACGCCATCTTGGGTACATCTTGGGCCGTCTTGGAGGCACCTTGGGGTAATCTTAGCCGTCTTGGAGGCCATCTTGGCCGTCTTGGAAGGATCTTGGAGGCCATCTTGGAGCAGTCTGGGGCAGGACAACTCTTTGCAACCGGCTCTGGAAGATCCTGCTGGGATCCCGGCGGGACGCGCCAGAGGCCCAGGGGAGTTCTTTTCGGGGCTGGACAGAACCCCCAACAGTGACACGTCGATTAGTGAATTGTCCGTTTTCGGTTCTCGAGAGGGCGCCGTGTCCGTTATTTTCCAGGCTTTCGCCCGCCAGATTTGGGCCTCAGGTCGTTTTCACTAAACCACGTTTTGCTAAAGGGGGTTCTGTCCATCCCCGATCTTTTGGAAAAGAACCAAAACCAAAACCGGGAGGATCCAGCATGCCAGGCACCCTTGTGATGAATGGCACATGGGGCGGCGGATCGAAGACGCCTACGGCGAATCACAGCCGCCCCCTGCCTTTCTGGAAGCGCCTATGTGGCCGAACGTTGAGGCCAGATCTGCCAAGCTATCGGACCATGTGTTCCCCGAATCGGTTTGGAAAGCCTTCGGGGAACACGTGGGCATCTTGAAGGTCCTCTTGGCCGTCTGGAGGCCATTCTGACCCTTTGGGGCCTTTTTGGAGGACGTCTTGGAGGGCGGCTCTTGGGCCGTCTTGGAGGCTATCTTGAGCGTCTTGGAGGCCATCTTGAGCGTCTTGGAATCCTCTTGGGGCCATCTCGGGCCGTCGGAAGGCCGAACAAAAGCAAATGCCACAATCCTTCAAACATTCATGGGAAATCGATGATTTTGGCCTTTTCGGGCATTCCTGGAGGCCCTCTTGGAGGCCTCTTGGGCCGTTTTGGGTAATCTTAGGGCCATCCTCGGCCGTCTTGGTGGGCTCCTGGCCCGTCTGACGCCTTCGGGAGCCGTTTGGGGGGCCTCTCTGGGCCGACTTGGGGCCCTCTTGGGGTGCTCCAGGGCCGTCTTGGAGGCCTCTTGGGGCCGTCTTGGGGGCCTTTTGGGCCGTTCTGGAGCCATCTTGGAGGCCTCTTGGGCGACCTTCGGGCGATCTTTGGGGGCTCTTGGGCCGTCTCGGTCCGTCGGAAGGCCGAAAAGAAACAAATGTCAAAACCCTTCAAAAACCTAAGGGAAATCAATGTTGTTTTGCCTTTTCGAGCCTTCCTGGAGGCCATCTTGGAGGCCTCTTGGGCCGTCTTGGTGGGTTCCTGGCACGTCTGACGCCGTCGGGAGCCGTCTTGGGAGCCTCTCTGAACCGACTTGGGTCCTCTTGAGGCGCTTCGGGGCCGTCTTGGAGGCCATCTTGGGCGTCTTGGAGGTCTCTCGGGCCGTCCCGATCCTGGGCCGTCTGGGGCAGGAAAACCGTTGGTAACCACCTCCTCCAGGACCCCGGCGGGACGCGCCGGAGCC